GCAACCCTCGGTGCTGCGCCCGCCCCTCGCTCAGCCAGTGAGCGGGAACCGGTCTGTATGTCGGATCCGAACCCTCAGCAGGAGGGCTGCCCCGCTCTCAAGCGGCGCACGGTCACCTCGCTCAGCCAGTGAGCGGGAACCGGTCTGTATGTCGGATCCGAACCCTCGGCAGGAGGGCTGCCCCGCTCTCAAGCAGTGCGCCACCGGGCCGGCCCATCTTGGAGGTTTTTAAAATGATTTTTATTTCAAGCAGTATGAACTGTTTGTGTATTAAAACCTTAACCTGGTGTTGTCTAAGCTATGCATTTATTTTAAGTTAGCTGATAGTCTTTATATTTTAAAGTTTGCTTTATTGTCACAACTTGGGTTTCTGATTCTTTAGGAGTGACATATATTACTTTTCTCATTTGAGTTTTTCCATTTTAGTCTAACAATCTCTTCCCATTCAAAAATGTAATAGAATTAATTTACATTTTCTTCTAGTTATTTTGTTATTGAAAAACTTTGAAAACATATTGGGAGTGACTTTTCTACATGACATGGATAGAAACGGAGTCACTCCTCTCCTCTTGTCATAGTGGAACAGGCGTCATTTTCTGCAACAATCCTTCTCTTCCTGACTGATTTGTGTTGCCTTAAAAAATTGCATGTTAAATTGCATATATTTGTGTGTGTATATATTACTGCAAAATATATATTGATTTGCATATTTATTTGATGGTTCTTTACATAGTTTTACAATATACTTTCATATGACTATTTTAGAAAACCTCAGAAGCATAGATTAGATAACTATAAAATATTTTAGGCAAAAGTAGTAATTCCCTTTCTTTCTTTTGTAGAATTTAAAACAAATTGTTTTTGGTTCACTGCTGCAGGTTAAAATGGTACTGGAAAATCTTAGTCCTGATTTGGATTTTAGTTCAGAAAATATGGTAAAAATGTTTCCACTTTTCGTTGAAAAGCTAAGAAAAATGAAGAAGTTACCTGCACTATTTTTTTTGTAAGTTACTTAATTTAATTTGCTTTTGCTTATAATTTGCATTAGACCAATCACTTTAAGTTGAAGAGAGTTATGTAAACTTTACTGTTTTGTGTGGTGCCCATTTGTTATTCAAATGCCTGTTTTATTTTTTTTAAAAAACGCCTCTCTAGTTCAGGTCTTATAAAATATTTTTACTTGTGCTATTAAAACTCACCATCTTTGTTTAGTTCACTACTCCATTTTGTGGTTTTCTTTTTTACTATAAACTATTATTTTTTATTTAGATCTTGTTATTTTTAGTACATACCTAGGCTCTTTGCAAAACAAATTGAATGTATATGCACACAAGTATCCCACATAAAATTAGAGTATCCTTACAATATTCTAGAATATATATTGGTAGGGTATTTTATTATTTTTAATTTATAGTAACGATAACCATGACATAGAGGCGTTCATGTTATTCATCATAGTATAAATGTTATTTATTTATACTATGTTATTGCTAAATGTTATTCATCATAGTATAAAATAGTGTAAAATTTAACATAATACTCCAGTTTTGATAAAGTGACACCAAAATATAATTTTTTCAATGGATAACACTCTATATCCTGGATTAACCTTGGTAACATAGTTTGGGATTAGAATATAATACTTTATTTACTTAGATAACTTTAAACTACACTTAAACAATGGAAGCTCATAAATAAAGCCACAGAGTCTTGTTCAGGTGGTAAAGTTTAACGAAACTTGTTCACGTATAAACGGACATGTAGTAATGTATCATCATTGGTGATACGTATTTAAAATAATGATAATAGATGAATATAAGGTTGTGTTTGAAAATTCTGGGCACTGCAATAAAATTGTTCCTTTTGTCTTTGTTATTGGGGCAAGGAAAATAAATTTTTGTACCACCAAGAAGTTACACAGATCATCTACTTTGCTTTCCAGTACGGCTGAAGATTTCAGTTAGAAACAAAAAAAATTATATACCTCTGAGATGTTTCTGAAAGTCTAACTTCGAAGTATAAATCCCAAAATAACTGTTCATTATTCATATACTCATACATATTTAAGAGAAGCAAAATTTTACTTCTACCCCCTTAGGATTTTGCTCTTATTTTCATTTGTTTCCAGATTCAAACTAAGAGATGTAGAAGAAAGAGCTAAAAGTGTGAGCACTTTCCTGGAAGAAAAGCAGGAGAGAAAAAGGCCTCCCAAAGCTGATAAAGCAGCCCATGACATGGCGAACAAACTTCGGAAAGTTAAAAAGTCCATGGACAAACAAAAGATAATGTAAGTATTGAACTAAACAAATTGGTCACTAAAGGGTTAAAGTACTTCCTAAGTCCTGGAAGGAAACATGCATTGAATGTGCTCTACAAAGAAGCTCTACATAGTGCTTGGACTTATTTGCAAAGTGAATAAATTTGGGTGGGAGAACGGGGTAAAGATAAATGCCCATAACTATATATTCCTTAGGTGCATAAATCAGTCTCATTTAAGACTTTGGAAAGTCAGGACCACAGTCTATCAGCCTTGGTAGATTTTGTAACCTGACACAATCATCCCTCACAATAAGCTCATCTTGGGCACATGTGTAAACTCTGACTCTCAGTCAGCCCTTAAAAAGCTTAAACATAGTCTACACCCATTGTCTTGGGTCACAACAAAGACGCATCACTGATATACAATCGCAGTTTTATAAGTGATCATAGAATGAGTTTGAGAATGGAATAAAATGCCAATTTTATTCACGGAAGGACTTTGCTATTGTAACTCCTTTCCTTTTCTCTCTAGGTCTAATTCTGTCAACTGTAGGGTCAATATGTTTATTCTCTCCCAATGATCCTCTCCATCTTTAGTCACTGTCTGGTTTTAGATGCTCATCATGTCATGTCTTGATTGTAGAGGTCTTCTTTTTGGACTTCAAGAGCCTTGAGGTTCACCACTTTTCAATCTAGCCAAAAAAATGATCTTGCAGACATTCAAATTGATTGAATTATCAAACACTCAATATTCTTCCTTCTTAAGCTGTTGAAGTCTAAATTCCTTGACTACTGTTGGTATGCCTACATATTTTGGTCTTTGCCTTAACTTTTTCAATCTCACTTCCTACCACTCCTCTATAGCAATACTCAACATTTATGGTTCTCCTCACATGACTTGTGACTTCTTCTTCCAGCTCTTTCTTTCCATGATGACCTATCTTCCTGGAGTGCCCTCCATCCTGATTGCCCCTAAAACTTGTACTTACGATTTTTGCAATCTCTTCTCTGAATATTGCCCTGATTACCCCAGTTAGACTTATTGTTCTTCCTCCTGGGTTCACTTTGCTACACTTTCAGTAGTTAGTAGATCAATTATTATAATGTATTGTTGTTGCCTGTCTGTATACATTATTTTTATTTAAAAATTTAAGTTCTTTTACCACAGGAAGCATCCATTTTCCCCTTTTAATCTCCAGTGCCTAGCATATTGACTGGCAGGTAATCATTGTTGCATACCTATTTTAGAATGAATGGTATATATTTCTCTCCAAGTTGAAACAGCTTTTGGAGCATCTCTGATTCAGATTTCTCAAAATCTAGAGCAGACTAAAATTTGCTCCTGATCCTTCTGCCATTTTACTGTATCCATAGATGCATGGGAAGTGAAGAGCCCAGACCACTTTTTTTTAGGTGCCACATTTTAAGTTGAATTAGTGACCAACAATTCCTTCTGCCATTTTACTGTATCCATAGATGCATGGGAAGTGAAGAGCCCAGACCACTTTTTTTCAGGTGCCACATTTTAAGTTGAATTAGTGACCAACAATTCAAGCTGTAAAAATAAAGCATTTTTAAGTATCTTCTTCAGACCATCATTATGTTGAGGGTGAGGTGGCCCTGCCTTGTGCCCTGTGCTTTGGAGAGTACCACTCTGGCCCTCTTTCATCTGCGTCCATTTCCATAAAATGAGGAGTCAGGAGCTAAGGAGACATGCCCACTCAGAGATCACTCTCACCCTTTTAAATTCCCAGTTGTTATAGAGCTATATTTTTCAAGGTAGGAGGATAGAATGTATTTTATTTGACATTTTCTCACCTTGAATAAAAACTTAGACAACAATATGTGGGCCTGTGTAAGTGCTTTGCCCATCCTCTGCAAACATTAGGGCCAGGTGCTTCCATAGTCATGGCATTGTCTCCTGAGTTAGGGTAATGTTAGTTGGAGGTGAAAACACTTAACAAGTGAGCACATCTTCTCATTTAGAATGGTCTTATGTGCACAGTTAAGAGACAAACTGAAAAATCAAAGGAGATGTGAT